ATAAACATTGAACCTATAGTATAATCACTTATGTCCTTCCAAGTTTAACTCAGTAGAGTCCAAGCATTTGATCAGATTGATGACAGATGCAGGCCCTTGTATGTAGTCCTAAAAACAAGTCAAGGATTGTACTGTTGGAACATTTGAAAGCAGCTCCTTATCTGAGTTCACATAGCTGCTCTCCACAGCTGGCCCATGATCTTGGGAGTACTTCAGCATAAGGTACTCCCAACAGATCCTATATGCATGCCCAAACATGCTGTGAATCACAATTTGTGCTTTGCATCCAGGTCAATGCACAACCCTAATAAAAAATGCTTCAATTTGAAAACTCAGGATCTGAAATATCTGGCAAGGCAATTACAGAAAATTGGAAATAGGAATTAAGAGACATGGGAAACATACTTATACTGAGAAACTAGCTCCCTTCTCAACAAATTGTCTATTGATTATGTATAAGTAGAGTGTTTTCTTTTTCTTTTTAATAGCATCTCCTGTCCCAAAATAAACTAGGAATGAGTAACAGGCTGACCTTTTCAGTAACGATACTGTCTGCCACAAAGTGAGTACCCATCATATACTGCATGTTTTTCTTAAAGTGGTCAGCTGCTCGATGTTTCTGATACTCCTCTGGAAAAAAAGCAATAAAATAATAGTAAGAAAGCACGCACATAACATTCAGGAGGAAATAGGCACATATTTGTCTTTTGGAGTTATACTGCAGTTATAAGCCTGATTCATCCTGCCTGCCTCAGGTTTGAATTTTATTTTGTGCAGCCACCATTTTGGAGGGCTCAGTTGTAATGGGGTGTGTGTGAATGTTGCATTTGTGGGTGACTACTTCAAAATATGCTTTCATCTTATGTGGAATGCGGGCCAAAATTGGTGGGTTTTCTTGTTGCATGAAGTGAATGAAGAGTGCTTTTCGGAGCATGGCCGACCCTGTGTTGCACGTTTGTGGGAGAGAAGGGAAAGCACTAAAAATAATGGAATTAGTAAATGGGCTGGCAGGACATGGAGCACAGTAGCAACTGAGAGGAAAACAGGAAGGGAAGGGGCTGGAAAGATCAGGAGGCAGGCAGCTTGGGATTACATGCTGCACTTGGGCACTGGTAACTGCTGAAGGGAAGAAGGAACAAAAGGCACAGGAAAGCAAGTGAGTAAAATATATCACACTGGGAGCTACTGAAGGGAGAAGAGAGGGAAACACCCTCAGTGTCCCTGCCTCTTCCCCATTCTCTCCTCTCCCCTGCTTCCATGCCACCTTCAACCTCTTGTGCCTCCTGACTGGAACAGATCTATTTTGTTCTGTGCCTGGACCAAACATACATGTTTCAGCTTGGGCACAGACCACTCCAACACAGCTGATGTATACACAAACACTTCAGGCTGGAATGCTTTGTATATCCCTAGTTGCAAGCCTATATACAGTCAGGTCCAGAAATATTGGGACATCGACACAATTCTAACATCTTTGG